AACTATAAAGAAAGAAAGAATAGGTCAGACACATGAGAGGCCAAATCTTCCCAGTGGAAAATCTCTTAGTACTAACACCAAGAAAGCAAATGAAAGCATATCAATTGGCGGTCACTGTAGCCTACAGCGACAGCTCCAGATCAGAACAGTGGTCTTATGCTGCGTGGTCACATCAGAGATCACTCAAACACACACTGCTATTTCTTATTCTGCTTTCAGAGCGGTAGAGATGGACTAAAGCCAGTTCCAGACAATGGAAGATCAGCTGCAAGTTGATTTAAAAAGTGCTGAGCTGTACAACAGGATTCATGGTATCAGGCTGTAGGATGGACTGAATCAAGTGACAAGAATTGAGCAGCTGCAGAGAGAAAACGATAGCTCTGTTTCTGCATGCAGCTCAGCTGAACAGTGACTGCATGAGACCCTTCATGCATCTTTAACCAGCTGTCAGTCACTTTGAGCACATTTACATGCGAGTTTAAGAGTCAGTCGCCTCAAAAGAGAGAGCGACACCGACAAGCACACTAACTTTATATCATGATTTCATGGATGTAATTGAATGACAGTGGTATGCTATATTCCATGCATTAAGGACCTGCAGAGTTTGTGAATGAAGGAGGACCACAAGTAGAATTTTGGCATTTAAACATCTATAAAACCTGGAATAAATAGCATTCAAGAACAGAGTATAAGTTCAAGGCTTTTTGAGAGTCTAGACAAATCAGCCTAATAATCTTCCACGGAAATTCATCATCATCATTCTAGTTCATCATCAATGAAACCGGATCCATCAATATTCCACCACAAGGCAATGAACAAAGAAAGTAAATAAATAACTTTGCATAGAGACCACTATGGTTAGTTTAAGATATCAGTGTAACAGCTAAATCAGTGTTTGGCTTATAAATGAGAACTGCTTAATTATGAAAGCCATCTTTCACAAAAATGCCATTCTTGCATACATAGGACCTTGAGGATAAGCAATGAGAGTAGCCAATTGTACACTTAGTCAATGACCGGATGCTAAATCACATGAGGGACTGTATTTTTTTCAGTTTAGAATAAAAATGAGATTCTGCTGAACTATAAAAGCAAGCAGTACATAGAGCAGAAAAATCATATGGCAGGATGCAACCAAGGAACCTTTACACAACTGAGCAACTCAGCTCCAAATTCTGTTTAAAGACACAATATCAATACAAATGCCATAGTAGAAAATACTGCTTCGCCCCTATAGTATTAAATGCAGCTCTGATGTAAGAGTAACTAAGTAACTTTGTTGAGGCCAGTGAAAGAGCATATATCTTGTAATTTATAGTTTTTATATTTTTGGTATATTATAAGATAGCATAACATCAGCAACAATTCAGAAAAGCTAAATAAGACTTTCAGAATTATGCATCAATAAGCTATTCACATATTTATGAAACAATTATTAGACATTTCAATTTGTGTTAGATTACTGCCGGGCACATTTCTATTACTGGTGTGTCACTCAAAGACTTTCCTCTCCCAGATGCCATCTTACTTGGACAGTTAAATGTGTTTGTGCCAGGAAAAACTGCACCGGAAATTCTCACTGTCAGGTTTGACTAATACATTAATCTGATCAAACACGGACGTGTCCACAGTCTTTCTGAAACTCTTCCACATCACGTATCAATAAATAGTCTAAAATATCTATCAGTCATAGCCTTTCACACAGTTTAATGGTTAACTTCCAATGAACTGCTCTTTGACAGGAAAAAAGAAAGATTATATTTTGTATGGCAAGCCATTCTAAAATGTATTTCCTTAAAATGAACTAGCACCTATTTTTAGGTTACTAGTGTAACATTTCACTTCCAGCTAGTATGTTTTGCAAGTTTTGCTGGTGAGTACTATAGTTTCACTTGCAGTATGCATCGTTTAGTTACTTCTGCCTATTTGCTAGCACTTAAAATTAGGGATGCACCGATACTGAGCTCCTGTACTCGTACTCGTTAAAATGCCCCGATACCACACAGCATGTGATAAGCGCCATATTCAAACAAAGAAACACTGACAACAGAACAACAGACAGCAGAAAGGAGTTAAGGATGTCTACTACGAAGTATATGTATGCAATGAATATAATGTTAAACATTCAGTATTAACGCCTGTATAGCTGATGTGAGCAAGCTGATAAACAAAGCACACTGAGTGGATTGAGCGCGCGGCAGCGCAGATGCGTGAGCTTGTCAAGTGAATATCCCTTTCTCACAGACATCACTGGAAAGTTTGTAGTTCGGTCGGATATGTCAAAAACAAGTAAGTAAAACAATGCACAGGTTACTTAACAGTAGGGAGGGAGAGAAAGAGAGAGCACTTCTGTTGTGTGATCTTTGATGTTCACTCACTTAGCACACGCATCATTTGGATTAAAACTAAATCGTAAAAATAAGACCATTTATAGGGGCATTCACTATAAACATAATTTATTTTGAACCATAGGCATACACGACTTTCTGGCGAAAGTGAATCTAGCAGCCTGTGTGAAATGCGCTAGGCTGTATTATTCTGCATCAGTACAAATTTGGCAAAAATTTGCTTGAGTGTTTCATCATTATATGAGCGGCTTTGGAATATAAATCGCAGCACGTTTCAGACGAAAAAAAACGCAACATTTATTTCTAAAAAATATCACAGTTAGGAGATTTATAATGAGTGGTTCCCTGCATTATTACAGCAAAGCGCGTGATTACAGTACTAAGCCGCTGCAATGGAGCAGCTCTAATGCTATTAAATTAAAGATGATGTACAATAGAGCAAAAACATGAACAGTGAAGAGCAAAAAAAATGAACAGTGAAGGTAACAAAAACTTGTAAAATACATTTTAATGGGCATAATTAAGTGTGAAAATAACCGAAGGATATACAGTGAAAACAAAAATTATTCAGAGACTAGATATGATTTTTGATAATTTTTTACTAGTGGGTGCAGGACACTATAGTTCATTTATGTAAGTGAGGGTAGCAAAATAAAGTAAACTGTGACAAATTATACCCAAAAATTCTTCATACAGTGGAATACCAGTAAAATTGATACAAATTAGGGTCCAAAAATTATTCAGACCGAGTCTGGGAAAAAATTTTAAGTTGAGGTTTGCATGAAGCTGGGTGACAGCATGCCCAGGAGACTACAGGCTGTCATTAAGGCTAAGGGTTGCCCAACTAAGTATTCATAGTTGTGTAAATACTGTCATACTAACAGCTGTCTGAATACTTTTTGGTTGATTGTAATCCATTATATACCTTTCTATCAAAGTTATCTAACATTATCAAGCTGAATTTGTTCTGACACAGTTTAACTCTGAGTTCTTGTCATATTTTATTACCATTTTCTAAACTATAGCGAATAAACTGTGATAATGTGAGAAATGTTGAAGGTGTCTGAATAAATGTTGGTTTGACTATCTATTTGATAAATGAAGTTAACCAACTAACATTATACATACGCTATTGGTTTCTGTACCCAATATTTAAAAAAAATTACAAATGCAATAAACATATCGGTATCGGTACTCGGTATCGGCAAGTACCAAACATAAAAGTATCGGTATTGGGCGAGTACTGGAAAAAGTGGTATCGGTGCATCCCTACTTAAACTACTAAATAGTCACTAGTTACTATCCTAATAGTGACCAATTACTATTCCATTTTTACTGGTAACAAATAGCAAATTTGTGGTTCAGACATTGACTATTCTAATTGTTGCTGGCACTTATTTTACTTTTATTGGTAGTAACTATTTATTATGTACCATTACGTATTTCTTAGTTACTGTAATCTATCCCAAAAGTAACAACTGGAATACACACTAGTTTATAAATAATTCTTTTTCAATTAGTACTAATACTAGAACAGATATTTAAGCAAATATTTGAATATTTACCAAAAAAGAAAAAGAAAAGAAAGATTATCATCAATTAAAAGAGAATAGTTAGGCTACTTGTATTAGTTACTAATTAATATACACAACTGAAATTTAATAGATACTAGTAAAACACAAAATAATTCTACTCGTTTACTTTGTAATTATTCAAAAGTACTAGTAACAAAAACAGTTCTTTTTAAGGAATAAATGTTTAAGCGGCTTGCCATATACGTTGAGGTTTCGTCTGTGCAAAATTATAATTTCATTTTAATTATATTAAAGCTTTTTCTTGTCGTCTAAAGGATGTTGTCTTCACTCAACAGTATGCAAAAGAGACTTGTTCATACCGAACTGTCAGAGAGAACTTAAATCTTTCGTGCGATGCTCACTATTAAGATACAGACGTGCACTGACAACAAATATCACAAAAAGAATAAGAAAACGTGTACAATATCAAAGTGGTCTACTTACTAAAATGTCTTTCGTCACAAATCGCCCAAAAACGCAGAAAAGTCGTCTAGCAGTTAGTGTAAAGCCAAGTAACGTGAGACAGAGCGCAGACGCGGAATGAACTCAGCTGTGTTAGTCGCTGTGCTGTGTGTGAGCCTCGACACAGGTACTGTACGCCCTCCTGCGCCACTTCTCCATCTCAAACAATGCGCTCCAACAGCAAACACGCCGCTGACGGACGGCATTATTGGAAAAAACATCTGAGCTCCTGGGAAATATTTGGGCTACCGCATTCCTTTGCTATCTATTGGAAAAAGCACACTTACACAATTATGATTATAAACCAATAGCACTGTTAAAACATGCAATCTGTTCATTGTTAAATATGCTGATAGAAGAATGGAGATCCGATTAGCAATAGACTAATGCTCAATACGAAAAACACATTTCTGAATATGCATGCAAAAGGCGTTCTTTTTTAAAATCGTACATATTGCTCCATTACCACCACCATTTGGAAGACAAGAACAGTGTAAGATTATGATGTAAACACTTGTAAGACCAGGCTAGTCTGGAGTGTGAGTGAAAACACAAAGACCTTTTTATTAGAACAAGTATTTATTTTCATAAAAATATCCAAAGGATTTGATGTCACACTATTTTTTTTAAGAAATATATAAATCAGTTTTTAAAGAATCCTTATGACAAACATCACTCTGAATTTGGTCTTTTTTGAGGAAGACTGGATTGCTTGCAACAAAATAATCCTTAGAACCCACATAAAAAGTTGACAATTATTTAAGCCCTTGCTTTTGCCGTTATAGTAATATTTTCTGGATAAAGATGCCCCAGATTTTTGGCAAAGTCAAAAAATTGAATCGATTAGACAGCAGCATAAAGAGTAGATCCTGAAAACTATCAGTGTGCACATTAACCATATAGATAATACAAGTAATAACTAATGAAATGTATGTACATAATAAAAATATGTTCTCATGGTCTCATTTTCAGAGAAATGGAGGCCAAACATTCGATAAGACATCCCATATCTTAAAGAAGAATCTTGTAAAAACAAATTAAGGACAACTGGTAAATGCAAAACACATACACAAAATATATTATAAACAAGATGTAAACAACTACATGCATGATGTGTGTTACTGAAAGATCCTATAACAATTAATAAAAGCACAAAACCCCACACAGTATTTATGCATGGATGATATCAAAGGTGCGGTGTAAAATTATCTCAAAATGACCCGAGAATATTTCTGTTCTTTCTCAGACGCCTCCAAACCCATCCCTCTCAAACCCCTTCCTTCATTTCCTCTTTCATCTCCAACAGCTTTGTTTTTCTCTAACAAGTCCTCGAGCTTCTCTAACGTCTCAGTGATTTCTTCTACAGGTATGTACTTTGTTTTACTCAAGAGGCTCTTCATCTTTTAGAAGCTCCTCCTCTCTGTTCATGAGATCATCATCATCCTCGTACTCCCAAGTCTTCATGAGTTTCAAACAGCTCTTCATCAGATATTGGTTCAAACTTTCTATCGTCCTCTAGCTCCATCATCTGTTGCTTTGGCTCATCATTTTTCTCCTCTACATCACTGATGTCCTCCACACAATCTTCATCATCTCGTCCGATCTTCTCCTTACTCTCCAGAGGCTGAGATTCCTCACACTCTGAGTCTTCATCAGATATTGGTTCAAACTTTCTATCGTCCTCTAGCTCCATCATCTGTTGCTTTGGCTCATCCTTTTTCTCCTCTACATCACTGATATCCTCCACACAATCTTCATCATCTCGTCTGATCTTCTCCTTACTCTCCAGAGGCTGAGATTCCTCACACTCTGAGTCTTCATCAGATATTGGTTCAAACTTTCTATCGTCCTCTAGCTCCATCATCTGTTGCTTTGGCTCATCCTTTTTCTCCTCTACATCACTGATATCCTCCACACAATCTTCATCATTTCGTCTGATCTTCTCCTTACTCTCCAGAGGCTGAGGTTCCTCACACCCTGAGTCCTCGTGAGTTTCAAACAGCTCTTCATCAGATATTGGTTCAAACTTTCTATCTTCCTCAAGTTCCATCATCTGTTGCTTAGGCTCATAATTTTTCTCTGCTACATCACTCATGTCTTCCACACAATCGTCATCATCCCGTTCGGTCTTCACCTCACTCTCCAGAGGCTGAGGTTTCTCACAATCTTCCTCTTTGCTCTCAGCATCTTTATCTGACTCTGCACCGCTCCACTCTGCGGTCAGAGTTTCTTCTGCACTCTCTGAATTGCCTTGACAGCTGGACACCTCATCCTCTGGTGGGGGCTTCCAGTAATCATACAGCTTTCCCTGTGAATTACACAACAGGCCTACTGAAGCAGAGTCCACCCAATAATAAAAATCTGTCATCACTTACTCACACTCATGTTTCAAACCCGTATGACTGACTTTCATGGGTCACACTTTAGTTTGGGGACCAATTCTTACTATTAGCCACAACTTTTGCCTCAAACTCCTAATTTGCTGCTTATTAATAGTTATAAAGGTAGTTGTAAAGTTTAGATATGGGGTAGGATTAAGGGATCTAAAATATGGTCATGCAGAATAAGGCATTAATATGTGCTTTATAAGTACTAATAAACAGCCAATATGCTAATAATATGCATGCTAATAAGAAACTAGTTAATATTGTGAATTGGTCCTCTAAAACTCAAGTATTAACCTTTAATGGAACACAAAAGGAGAAATTAGTTAGAATGACATTTGGCTACTTTTCCATGCTGTTTACAGTATGATAAAAGTAGTACATATGAAAACTATATTCCAAGGAGAATATAGTTGAACTTTTTACTTTTTAAAAAGCATTGCGTTTTGCACCAGACACTTCACCATTGCATTTGCAGCTTTCGCAACATGTCTTTTCACTGAATATCTTGACATTAGCTCCAGCTTTTGTTCATGAGAGATATAGCAAAACATCACCAAGATGCAATGAACAAATCGCTCAGAATGGTGTTTGATTAACGGATTCATTGAACACGTCAAGATTTTCAATAAACAACAAAAAACAAAGCTATCATAAGACTCAGAAAAATAGTGCAGAAATCATATGTACCACTTTTATGATACATTTATGGTGCTTTTGAAAGCTTTTTTTAAAGCTAAGAGTAAAAATTCCTTAATTCATCAAATTCCTTTTGTGTTACATAAAAATATACTCATCAGGTTTGGGAAAACCAATAGGTCATACTTTTTATTGCAATGCATGACTTTTATAAAAAGACACATCAATGAAACAAAATATTCTTGTATGATCAAAAAATACCACTAATTCTTCATGCAGACTCTACCTGTGAACTTTCAAACACAATACTTTCCTTTAAATGAAGAGTGTTATGACTAAAGCCCAACCGATATATCGTATATCGTTTTGCCGATTTTATCGGCCGGTATGAGCCTGTCGCAGATATATTGGTATCGGCGAATATGCCGCCAATATTAACTTTTTTTACAGAACATAAAACGCAGATAAAATGTTTGTAAATGGTGTAATTACATAGTTTGTCGCGCTCCATTGTTTGCTACTAGCGACCTGGATGAAATGCTTTAAAGTTTAAAGGGATACTGTCAGGGTTGGGGATGAAGCGACGACTCAGTAGTGCAGAGTAATGGGCTTTTAATTGTAAAATAAAACAAAACAAACAAAAAAAAAACTAACCCGTGGGGGAAAAACAGGTTGGCAAGGCAAGGCAGGACCAGGACAGGACACGACACAACAGAATACATTCAATGGTGATACGATGACGAACTGGCACGGGACTGCAAACACAAGGAGAATAAATAGGGAGCAAATGAGGAGGGTAACGAGGGAACACATGTGGGGCAAATTAACCAATAATCAGATAACAAGATGGGTGGGGTCAAGACAATTGACGAGAGCACATTGTACACAGGAAACAAAGAAATATGCCATGTGCTCACACAAAACAAACACAAGCACATGGCCAGAAAAGCAATCACAAGCCATGTGCTTGAACAAAACAAGACATGAACACGCAGCTAATGAGAAAACTCATAAGCCGCGTGTTCACACAAGACAAGACAGCACGCAGCCAGCGAAAAACAAGCTGCGTGCTACACAGCACAAGACAAAACAGGACATGAAAAGTAAGCAGCCGATAACATGAGCTGCGTGCAACAATAACACAAGACAACAAGAAAAGCACGTGGCTGAACACAAACCGCGTGCTACACAAAACACAACACACGTGGACAGAAGAGCGCAGGGCCGAGCGAACTCGAGATCGCACGCTCCCACAACAAGACAGAAACCGAAACTCAACAAAACATAAGTGCCGGGATCAGAACACCACGCTCCAACATGAAACAGGACACACAGACAAGAGCGCACGGCTCGAGCACTCTCGAAGCCGCGTGCTCACATGAAAACAACAACATGACGGGAGTGTCAGGGCCCTGACACAAAACTATGAATAACATTAGACCGAAGTGACAGAACCCTGACACTATCCCCCCTCAAAAGGGAAGCCACCTGGCGTCCCTAATGAGGAACACCCAAAAACAAGACCGGAACATGACAGCACAAGACCAGAACAAATATGACAACACAAGACCGACACACAACAACAGACAACACAAGACAGGGGAATCAAAACACAGAGACAAAGAGGGGAGGGAGGGAGGGAGGGAGGGAGGGGAGCCAAGCCAGCCAACAGGAAAGCCCAGACAGTCATTAAAGGGACCAGGGAGTGTCAGGGAGGGTCAGGGAGGCTCAGGCAGTTCAGGAGTCCTGGCAGGAGGCCAGGGCAGAGCCAGAGGGATGAACCAGGGAGGCTCCAGCAGTTACGGAGTCCTGGCTGAAGGCCAGGGTGGGACCGGATGGACGGACCAGGGAGGCTCCGGCAGTACAGGAACCCTGGCGGATGACCAGGGCAGGGCCGGTGGGTCGAACCAGGTGGGCTCAAACACCTCTGCAGTCCCGGCAGGAGGCCAGGGCGGAGCCGGAAGGACATGGAGCTTGAGCGGAGCCAGCAGGGCAAGGAGCTTGGGCGAAGCCGGAAGAGCAAGGAGTCTGGATGGAGCCGGCAGGGCAAGGAGTTTGGACAGGACAGGCAGATCAAACTCTGGCACACCTGGAATCAGGGTGATGAAGGGAAATACCATGAAGGTGGCAGTCCCAAGGGGAGTATTGCCAGTGTAGTGGGCATGGGTCTGGCTGGCCTTCAGATTAGGCACAAGAGTCATTTTGCAGTAGTTCCAGGGCTTAGAAGTGAACTCTGGAGGCCCCGGGGTGGAGCAGACTCTGGGACAGCCTCTGTGGTCATGACTGGGAAAATATACTGCTCTGGGATGGCCTCCATGTCCGCAGAAGGCTCTGGCTGACAGATTTGTCCATAGTCAGAGGAAGACGTGCATTTTCCAGGCACGCAGCACGGCCAAAACATAGAAGGTGAAGACAGCCCTCTTGGCCATGGCAGGGCTGACTGGGAAAATGGGTGGCTCTGGAACAACCTCCGGGCTCTGGAACTGCCTCTGGAGCCCCAACAGGACTGGAGGAAGCCAGCTGAACAGTGTATGCAGCCCAGACACACATAACAGCAGCAACGTACAAGGAGAGGGCAGCCTCTTTAACCGCAACAGGACAGGAACAGTGGGCTGCTCAGGGACCACCTCCATGGCCATAACAGGGAGCTCTGGGACTACTACACTTGGGGGCTCTGGGACCACCGCCATCAGGTCCTCCTGGACCCCCAGATTAGGGGAAGCGACAGGAGTCCTCCATCTCCTGCGCTTGTGAGGGCGAGGCGGTGGCACGGAGCTCTGTCACAAAACCATGAATAACACTAGACCGAAGTGACAGAACCCTGACAGATAGTTCACCCAAAAATTTTAATTTGATGTTTATCTGCTTACCCACAGGGCATCCAAGATGTAGGTGACTTTGTTTATTCAATAGAACACAAATTAAGATTTTTAACTCAAACAGTTGCAGTCTGTCAGTCTTATAATGAAAGTGAATGGGAATCACGGCTTTGAGAGTCAAAAAACATACACAAACAAAACCAAATTAAACCCTGTGGCTCGTGACGATACATTGATGTGTAAAGACACGAAACGATCGGTCTGTGCAAGAAACTGAACAGTATTTATATAGTTTTTTTTTTTTACCTCTGATGCACTGCAATGTCTGAACTGTCCTGAGCGCGTCCTCGACAGCCGGATTGACACTCCTAATTGAGATTGTAGATAGTGTCAATGGTCCATTTGATAGATAGGTGGCGGTAATGCACTTATAAGTCTGCAATCTGACATAAATGTCATGCACCGGCTGTCGAGGGACGTGTTCAGGACAGTTCAGAACATTTCAGACATTGCAGTGCATCAGAGGTAAAAAAAAAAAACTATATAAATACTGTTCAGTTTCTTGCACAGACCGATCGTTTCGTGTCTTTACACATCAATGTATCGTCACGAGCCACAGGGTTTAATTTGGTTTTGTTTGTGTATGTTTTTTTTTACTCTCAAAGCCGTGATTCCCATTCACTTCCATCATAAGACTGACAGACTGCAACGGTTTGAGTTAAAAATCTTTGTTTGTGTTCTACTGAAGAAACAAAGTCACCTACATCTTGGTAAGCAGATAAACATCAAATTTTAATTTTTGGGTGAACTATCCCTTTAAGTGTACGGAATACCACTGAAACATCTCGAGGCCCCCTTTCGAATGAGACCACCCCCATGTCAATAGCCCCCGGGGTCCGGGAGTTACGGGCGGTTAAATTCACGGTCGGGTGCCGACCAATCTGGCAATCCCGGGGGGCTATTGACGCACGGAGGGTGGCGTTCGAGAGGGCTCCTCGAGCTGAAGGGACACCGCCGCGTTCGCGAGATAGTGACACCAGCCAACACTTTCACTTCAGTAAGGAGGTCTCTTGTTCAAGCATTCAAGCATTGTCTTATTCGACAGTAAGTGCTCTGCGAAGTGGACTTCACATGATATTCCGCCATGATTCTAGTTCCAAGGGAACGTACACGTTACATTCAAAGGGCATTAAAGTGCGCGAGACGTGAATTTAAATTGTATTTATTTACAGAGGTATATTATGTCACACTTCTCTAGTAAGTTTCATCTGTGTGTGCAAATCACACACTTTCAAGACAGTAGCGCAAATCCGTGAATGAATGTCCAAAAGTGAAATAAACTTCAATTAAATAAAGTTGAATGGAATTGAATTTAAATTAAGTTGAATAAACTTCAACTTTACTGTTCAGTGCACTGATGTCAGACTCATTTTGGATAATAAAGTTTATTGTTAAATGCCCTTCCTCCATTACATATCTTTGTCACACCATTATAAGTGTTTGATCACCACATTTGAGTGATCATTGCAAAAAATGTGTTTATGTATATATATTCTGTTTATGTATATACTGTATTTTATATACCAGTCAAAAGTTTGGACACACGAATAGGAAAGTGTCCAAACTTTTGCCTGGTACTGTAATATAATATACACAAAGAATATCGACCGTTATATCGATATCTGCCTTTTTTACTCCCTAATATTGGTATCGGTATTGGCACCCAAAAAAACCTATATCGGTCGGGCTCTAGTTATGACATGGACTCACGCTGCTTAAATTGCGAAAACACTTGTATACAAAATGTGGCCTTCACAGCCTGGCTGGGTGTGACAACAGCTTTTATCAGCATCAGTTAACAGTATTCTTGTATTCTTCAGTTGTCTGCATTCTTTCACATTACCTCCTGAGGCCTTGTTCGTGTTAGAAGCACCTGCCACTTGGTGTATATCCTTGCCACAAAGTCTTTCACCTACAGAAGAAAAGCCAATCACACTGTCAATAAAAATCTGGATCTCTTTTGATATAAACAGAATGAGGAATTCTCAGAGAACAGAATGAAGCTGCTCTTCACCTTGCTCCTATACAGCATTTTCTCACTCTCCCTTATGTCACACTTAATGTGCTTCTCCAGCTGAGAAGAAAGACTCTGCAGATCCTTCTGGCAGTGAAAGAGGGCTCAAGTTAGTCTAATTAAGTAATACAATTGTGATATAAAACAATACTGACAAGACAAAGACTAAGGCACAGTCAGATGTGCCTTACTTTATTCATACAATATTGAGGGAATAAACTAAGACCTGTCGCAGCAAGCTTTTGTTGTGCACTTGGGATTTAACACAGCAAAAACAACATTAGAAATGGGTAAGTTTGATTCAAAAATCGATTCAAAGATTTGTTTATTATATATTAATTGTTTGGCAAGCAGTTGTAAGACAATGGACAGTCCGTCAGTCTTTATCACGAAATAAGCCCCTTTGGGATGATACAAGACCTGACAAGTCTTGTTGGGTTTATTTTGCCATAGTGACCATAACTTACATAATAATTTTAGTGTATTTAAAAACAAAAATTATAATATATCATTATTCCTTGTGTTCATGTAGTTGATATTATTTAACAATTTTTACTATACTTTAATTTTAAAAAACATAAACCTAATTAGTAACAGTGACTTTTGTTAAAATTATGGTTCCTCTCATTAAAGAAAAAAAAATAAATCAACATGCTTCTAGTCAGTAAAATCATCCTCTCGCTTCAATTCACACAAGTTCTGCTTTCTAAAGAGTAAAATTAGTTATGTTCATAACTGGTCCCCGAGGGTGAGCGTTAGGGCTGAACGATTTTGGAAAATAATCTAATTGCGATTTTATTTACCAATATTGCGATTGCGATTTAATATGCAATTCTTTTTTAAAGCTCTTTATGTTCTGTATTATTCAACAAAGACAAGCTATAAATCATTGTATAGTATGACCAACACACTATTAGACAGATTAAACATAAATGTTATTTTCTGTAGGCCAGGCCTATATGTTACGATGAAATTAGGTGATGCATGAATTGATATGAATGACATTTTTATTTAACAACTACAATCACAGTATATTGACTGATTTGTTGAACTTCCAACCTTGTAAGCATGTAATAATTATGTTTAAATAGCCTGGTGTAAACATTAATATGAAAGTCAGTAACAAATCACACAAAATAAAGTAGATTGCAGAAATATAAAAACAAACCTGTTGCTTTACCACACTACTTTAGGTAATTCAAAGTCACTGTAATAAACATATGTAAACATGTGCACTGCACTAAACACTGTCTGTTAACTTTAGACCAGTGGTTCTCAAACTTGTTTGGTCGCACCCCCCTTTAAACCTTTTTTTTTATTTATTTAAAAAAACCTACAGGGAAAAAAAACACCTGCATCACTTGAAGCATTGAAAAATAGCATAGAGAGAATTACTGTTATTATTCTCTCTGTTATTCATTTATTTTTTGTTATCCAAATAATGTTTAATCCTAGAAAGCTATTATTATCAGAGGACACGTGAGCATAACGGTTAGCAGATCAATGAATGAGAGGGCAGCGTTACCAGAGTTGCCCATTTACCACACCTTGTTACAACACAGTTGGGCTACGGCTAACAGAAACAATACTGTACTAAATCGATGTTTCCTGTCAGCGCGATTTTTGAGTGGACTTTGCTGTTCCGATTCGCATGAACGGTATATGAGTGGAGCACTCACGTGGGCCGCGAGCGATTGAGCGGAGCACACACACGCATAGAGCGGGATAATATGCAGAGCGTCACACCACGTGAAAGTGAATCCTGAGCGGTGAACTAATTTTCGACAGCCGGAATTTCAGTGCATCTCTAATTATTGGCGACATCAGAAATGATTATTATATAAAAGTTGCTTTTATTAACATTTTAGCAATTTAAAAAAAAAAGTTTTTTACACGGTACCCCGGTTGGGAAACACCAAGGCATAGGACACACACAGGCTTTCCTCCTCACCAATGACATTAAACACCATGTCTACACCGGATGCGAGCGACAAAATACAGTAGAACCCATTATAATCAGTGACACTGTGTACACTGGATGCGGCGCGACATTAAACTAATGCCTTGTTCTATTTATGACTAAGTTACGTCCTTTGGCTGTTTACTGATTTATTTATTTTCTTTTTCTGCTGATGGCCCGCGCTCGACTTGAAGCAGCGCTGCTTAGACCGATCGGTGTGTGTCATCAAAGTACTGCGAGAGCTATAAGAGAGAGCGGACATCTCCTTATGCTTTCTTTCGCCATACTTTGATGTCATACACCGATCGATCTTCCAAGTGGAACACACCTAATCGCAGCCTCTGCGATTGAAAAATCGCGTTTTCTCATATCGCGATATTATCGCAAATGCAATTAATCGTTCAGCCCTAGTGAGCGTGACAGGGTCTTTCTGTGACTGATTCATTAACACGGCTCCTTTATATCTACACTGTATAATCTATTCACAGAGCATCTCGATTCTTCTGAATCGATTCACAAAATTCTAATTTCTAAGTCCATCATCAGTAATTCTACTGGATGAAAAAGCATATGTCGGACTAAACATAAAAAACACAATGACAATTAAGATACATTGAGAACAGTTTTGGAATTGGAATGTAATCAAATTGCGAAGATTTCCTCCCTTATTATACAATCATATAAAAACAGAAATTGAACACTTACTCTCTGAGCTGAAGGTAAAAACTCCAAATTGGAGGCTTCATTTGTCAAAGTCAAAAGGCTGTAGCAGAGGTAATATGCCTGTATGAAAGAAGATCATTTATCAGCTTATTAAACTCAAACAAGTGGTTTTACTGTATCACTCTTGGATATTAAAAAAGTAATGATCCAATAGCTCTCAGCCCTCAAGACGACTTTTTGCTTACTTGTTGGTCTAGATTGGCATCACAATCTTCTGCTCTCCTTGCAGACCTGAGGCCTTTCAGTAGGGACGAGGGACGCATTTGATGTAGGAAAGGTGTCAGCTCAGACAGCTGGAAAAATAGTCATAGAAACAAAGATTCATTTTGTGCATATCCTCAAAAATGAAAGTAGTTTTGACAAAAGCTTGGTCAGCCAAGTGTAGTCTGTGGATGATACACCTGCATAACTGCACTCATCAATACCCTTAAAGCATCTATAGTTCTAAACATTGAAAAGCCGCTAATATTCTATGGATTATTCTCACCTTAAACTCTGTCCCTGAGGGCTTATAAGTGCAGGTGTGGTTCAAAAGCTTTGAGATGATAGATACACTCAGGTGTCGTTTTAATTGCCTGTTAAATAAATAGCAGATGAACAATTACAGAAAGCACTTAAAATAAAAAATAATCGGTGTGTGTCATCAAAGTACTGCGAGAGCTATAAGAGAGAGCGGACATCTCCTTATGCTTTCTTTCGCCATACTTTGATGTCATACACCGATCGATCTTCCAAGTGGAACACACCTAATCGCAGCCTCTGCGATTGAAAAATCGCGTTTTCTCATATCGCGATATTATCGCAAATGCAATTAATCGTTCAGCCCTAGTGAGCGTGACAGGGTCTTTCTGTGACTGATTCATTAACACGGCTCCTTTATATCTACACTGTATAATCTATTCACAGAGCATCTCGATTCTTCTGAATCGATTCACAAAATTCTAATTTCTAAGTCCATCATCAGTAATTCTACTGGATGAAAAAGCATATGTCGGACTAAACATAAAAAACACAATGACAATTAAGATACATTGAGAACAGTTTTGGAATTGGAATGTAATCAAATTGTGAAGATTTCCTCCCTTATTATACAATCATATAAAAACAGAAATTGAACACTTACTCTCTGAGCTGAAGGTAAAAACTCCAAATTGGAGGCTTCATTTGTCAAAGTCAAAAGGCTGTAGCAGAGGTAATATGCCTGTATGAAAGAAGATCATTTATCAGCTTATTAAACTCAAACAAGTGGTTTTACTGTATCACTCTTGGATATTAAAAAAGTAATGATCCAATAGCTCTCAGCCCTCAAGACGACTTTTTGCTTACTTGTTGGTCTAGATTGGCATCACAATCTTCTGCTCTCCTTGCAGACCTGAGGCCTTTCAGTAGGGACGAGGGACGCATTTGATGTAGGAAAGGTGTCAGCTCAGACAGCTGGAAAAATAGTCATAGAAACAAAGATTCATTTTGTGCATATCCTCAAAAATGAAAGTAGTTTTGACAAAAGCTTGGTCAGCCAAGTGTAGTCTGTGGATGATACACCTGCATAACTGCACTCATCAATACCCTTAAAGCATCTATAGTTCTAAACATTGAAAAGCCGCTAATATTCTATGGATTATTCTCACCTTAAACTCTGTCCCTGAGGGCTTATAAGTGCAGGTGTGATTCAAAAGCTTTGAGATGATAGATACACTCAGGTGTCGTTTTAATTGCCTGTTAAATAAATAGCAGATGAACAATTACAGAAAGCACTTAAAATAAAAAATTAAAAAAATGTAGTACAATAAATATTTATATTACATTACAGGTTTTTACTTACTTTCCACAACTGCTATCTGGAAGAAGATAAATTAGTCTCCTGAGGTTGTGATGATCTTCTGACAAATCAGTCAGGGTCTGACAAGCTTTAGATATCTACACAGAAAAAAGGGAAATCTGTGTTAAATGTGAGAAGATGATAAACTAATACTTAACAGGTAGTCCACCTAAAAATAAAAATAATTTTCTGTTTTAACTGTGAAGCACAAAAGACGAATGCACTTATTTTTCATTGTATAAAAACACTGATACTGATAATTGTTTGGAATGGCATGAGAGCAAGTAAATGATGACAGAATGTTCATTTTTGGGCAATATGAATATTAAACACACTCTTTCTGACCTGTACATCCCAGTGTGTGATATTTTTAAGCAGATTCTGGAGCAGGATGCTTAAGTGTCCAGTTGGCAGCAGCTGAAAATGAGTCTCCAGTCCAATTCTACACACCACAGACAGAAGCAAGAGCAGCTCCTCATCAGTGTACGCTCTTGGACACAATGCAGTACACAGGGAGAGGTACTGAACAAATGAAGACAAAAATACAGGCGTAAATTAGACTGACACTTACTATTGCGTTTAAAGCTAAATTATCGTTAAACAAATGAAAAATCCCCTACTACTCAATACATGACAAACACATTCTTAAAATACTCAGCTTACCTTGAGAACACTCTCCAAATTATGTATTGGTAATGTGCCATTGTCTTTCATGTCAGATATCACTCGGTCTTGGCTGGTTTCTTCTGGATGAAAGCTCTCTCTGCCAACACATACATATGCATTAAAATACCAACTTTGCATTTTTATGAAGCTGTTGGTATAATCATGACTTATGTCAAATATGCTGAATGACAAAAACATATGACTAGTACAGAAGAATAATGCTGCAGACTGAGAGGTAAAAAACTCACAAAAGGTCTCCCTCAGTAAAAGGGGGTTGCAGAGCCTCAAGAGGGAACAGACTGATGAATGATGCCCCCATGTTCAGGAAAACCAGGGTGATGTCCCGTACAGAGGGTACCCACACTTTAAAACTTTGGCTCTGGTGTTCAACTATAACACAGCTGTCAATTTTAGTGCTTTATCGGTTGTACAGGAAAAGCATATTTGGCCATTATGAGGTCTTTCAAGCATACCTATGTGTTGAGCAGCAGACAGAGCAATGGTTTGTAAGGACTGCATGATGTGTGAGGAAATAATTGGGTTTGGGTAAACTGACATCATCTGAAAAAGCATTATAGTTATTAGCTGTACATACATTTTGGCTATTGGACCATATTAGTTGAGTCTGCAAAGTTGTATGCATGTTTGGGCACTAAAAGCATAAGCTCTCATAAAAATAATCCAACTGTAGTGTATAAGTTTTGACAGGTTTAAACATAAATGTCCCAAGGGTATACAGGTTTCCCATGAGAGAATATAAGATGGTGTGAACAAAACGCAACGAGTCAAACAAATATCATAGGAACAGTGAACCTAAAATTTCAATACAACCATATAACAATACAAAAGAAATGCCAAAAATGCATATATTACTTAATATAACTCATAAAAACTGATCAACAGATGAGATCAACATGAGATTACACATACAGTGGCCCCAAAAAGAGCACTGCATTAGATAACAAAATCTCAAACCATGTAGCATTCATATATTTTTAAGTGTAGATTAATTGTCCATATTTTTGGCCCACTGTAAAGTACATCCATGTGTTACTGACTAAGCACACAGTGTTTTGTAGGACAGAAAATATGAGGAAAGAAGGTGGTTTTACCTGGAAAAGCCAGCGTGTAACTTCAGGCTGACAAGGGAAAGAAAAGTAGGCTTTCCTCAACAAGCCAGCACTGATCAGAGACAGCACATGCTCAGTACGGGACCTATAGAGGACAAAAACAAAACGCTCATATTGCAAAGTGTAATAAAGTATACTAATAACAAAAAACACCAAGCCCAATTGCAAATGAACATAACAGAAATAATCACGGATGCATCTCCTATTTTACTCATTCTTTGAGAAGTGAACTTGCTGTGATACTACATTTGATATTGGGTTCAAGGTGTCATCAGACAGGTATCATCTATTACTAAAATGGAAGGATTAAATCAATTTGTTTGTTTCTTTCCCACTTTAAAAAAATTTGCGCATTTTGACACAACATAATATTTAAACACCTTTTACCATAAGCAAAAACTGAAGTTTAGAGAAAACTAAAAATGACTGATGTTGGCAGTCTTACTGAAAGAGGATTTGTTGTGATTTGTTATGTGGAGTCACAGAAATCTTCCTCAGGTCCAGCGTCTGGTGGTTGAAGAGTCGACCAAACCTAGCAGGCAGGAATACTTCCTCTCCTGGGTGGATGTCCCTGATGGCACATGAGGCGACAGAGAACCTTTGCAAAAATTCCCTAAAAAAAAAGTAAACCATTTTTTTTTTTCAGATAAATGATACATTTTCATGAGACTGTCAAAATTCTACATAAAACGAAGTAGCATATATTTTCAAACTACATTTATGCACATATACTCAAACTAAAAACACTTATTTAAATTGACTGCCATAATCTACTTTAAAACACCAAAAGGCTTCAATATAGTTTGGATTTAAATAATAAAAAAAAAAAATTATGAGAATGAAGCCAGCTATTAAGCCAGTATGGACAAAATACCTTTGCTTAAGTGAGATGTCTTCCAATTTACTTTCACTGTTCTCATTCTCATCTAGATTCAGCAGATCCTCTTCACATGACTCAAGTAACTGTCTCTCCAACTCTTTTGACCTGTGTAGTCAAATGAAAAACAAAGTGTGTCAAGTAATTATTAGACATTTATCAGGGTGAGACTGCAGGCTAAATGCAGCATGATCTGTCTCAACAAATTCTGCCATGGCATAATCAGTCTGTGAAACTGACAGTCGGAATAAACAACAATCGGTCAATTTTACACACCCAAAATGTTACTGTCAGGGTGAATTAGGACAACAATTTAAAATTTTCTGAAGTAAACAAGTATTGCAGCTGGTGGTTTTCAGCACATTACTATTGGTTCTAGGTCAGCAATTCTCAACCAGAGCTCCGAATATTGGCCTTCAAATATTGTCACAGACACAGGAGGGCCTTGGAGTCCAAAAGGTTGAGAACCACTGTTCTAGTATGTCTGGCAAGTTGCTTACTGTTTGAAGTCAAAAGTTAATGACATTTTTCTGCCATTTTATTGTCTGTCAGGCAAAAATTATTAGTTTGATACCTTATAAAAGTATCAGTAGACCTTTCCTCAAGACACAATTTGAGTTCTCATTCATGTCTGTAGTCTATACAGCTAATACTTACAAAAAGTCAATAATCCTAAATGTAAGCAATATAAAGGCTGATTTAAAGGAATAGCTCACTCAAAACGGAAAATTCTGTCATCATTGACTGATCATGTCCTCATGTTGTTCCATTATCAAAGCACAAATGAAGATCAAATATGGTAAACGAATGCTCAAACGATTTTCTTTATGTATGTGTGTTGATCAGTGTTTATATATATTTATATACAGATTTAAATGTCTATATTACATCTGTTCTTAATATAAAGCAATATTGACTCTTGGATTCAACTACTCGATTATTTTTATGATAAAATTTTTCTACGAGCGTCAACATTTTTGTGTGGACTTTCAAAGGAGGGACAGAAATCTCTCAGATTTCATTACAAAAACGTCATCTGTGTTATAGGTTTGGAACAACATGAGTGTGAGTAAGTGATGACAGAATTTAAATTTTTAGGTGAATTATTCTTTTAATAGCCATGCCTGCTTTGGTAAACACCACTAATAAAAGCTGTCTACATTGAGATTTTGACCTCTCAATCACTGATATCCAAAGCACTACAACAAACCAAGGGTTGCCAAGCACAAAATGAGACATGCTGAGAATCAAGTTGGGGGAAAAAAACAAATGAGGTTTTCAGACCAACCTCTGATATTGTTCCTTCTCTTGCAGCATCTGCTCCAGTGTATTTCTATAAGTAACGGCTTTGGTTTTCACTGCCTCGGGCTAATACAGATAAATAAAAAAATAAAAAGAGATGTTTGTGAAAACCAGGCATGTCAAAGACTGATTAATGACATATGAGGTCATGACATGTTTTCTGAACATCCTTAAACTTACTGCTGCTTTTGAGACAGGTGTGTTGGGCTCTGAAAAAGCATATTTTTCGGGAGTAACAGGCACATGGTCTCTCCGACTCATCAGCTTCTCCAGAGATGGCAGCGGCTCATCTTCATGACCACTGCTGCTGCTGCTCAGACTGATATTGCAGTACTCTCTCAGCTCATCGTCGGAGTTGTCTCCCAACTCAATATCTAAGGGATATTTCCACTGGGGGCAGCACTTCTGTTCTCTTGATTCTTCTACATTCACCAACACAGCTGGGGCAGGCATGATAGCCTTGGGGCTGCGTGACTGCTCCACTTTCAACTGCGTTCTTTCATCCGTTTCCATCTTACGTGAACCGGCTTGTTCTGCAAAGCTGGGTGATCTTAGATCAGGATGATGGGGGGACGAGACAATTTTAACACTCTCCTTATGGTTGGAATAGGGGCTTGTTTGTGTGCAAGTTTCTCTCTCAGCATTTGCTTTTTTATTATGAGTTTTGGGTGACGGTAAGCAACAGCCTGGTGTAAAAAGTGGTGTCTCGATGCTGTCAAACGTTGTGCTCGACTTCGGAGAGACTTTGCGCAAATGCGGTTGGCTGGGTGGAGCTTTGGGATTTTTGTTGGCATGTGCCACCATAGCATCTATTGGCTCTGCAATCATGGGTGATTTAATGAGTTGAAATGAGTTAGGTTTGTCACTTGCTGTGTTTGAGTCCTTACATGGTTTAAACAGCTGCCTGGGGAGGGAAGGCGGAAGTCTGGGTTTGTTGTTGCTGTTTGGTGCAGCAGCAAGCATTTTAGGGGGCTGTTTCTCCTTTATAGTTATCTCAGACTCATTGCTGCCCTTCACGAAAGGACGTTTGACGAACTTAGGCGAGTTTATAATGGAAGAGCTGGTAGTGGGTTGGAAATCAGCACATGAGCGTTTCATTTCCTTCTCATTTTCTGTACTACCCTCCCTTTTTCTCTTTACAGACAGGGACATCCTGCCCTCTGTTGGCAAAAAGTTGTATTTGATATAGAAAGAGAAACAGCTTAGTTTTAAAAGTTACGAAATAAAAAGCTGGGCAAGATCAGTAGTACAACAAAGGGTAATAATTCTTACCTGGATTAGTTTTGTGGTGAGAGGTGCTTAATTCCTATAAAACAATCAATGAAAATACGTGAAAACATGTTTGACATCCATAGTCACTTGAAAAACGGTGGAAATCATACATAAAATTATTCAACAAAAATATAGAGCTTGACAAGTACCTTCTGAACGGACATGACACTACAATAGGAGGTTTTGTGGTCTCTATTCTCCAGTCTATATTTTTTCTGATCAGGACGGTGGATGATCCTCTCCCCTGTGTTAACTGTTGCTTTAGGTCTCTGCTGGAATAAGCAGGAACTACTACTCTCAGGGTTACGCCTGGAGTGAGGTGTATAAAGAAGAGAATGTCTCTGGACCTTCACAGCATCTGACTGAAACAAACCTCCTCCAAGCTGAACACAGAACATCAGAGGATTATGAAGTTAGAATACAATAAACGAACACCAACCACAAGCTATAACAATTATGTAACAAAATCTAAATGACAGGGTTCCCACATTTTTGGAGTAATTAAATTCCAGTATACTTTGGCCTTTCCAGTCATTTAAAAAAAAAATCTTTGATTATGACAGATGCATTAATGAATCATTCAGATTTATCTGAGAACCCATTTGATCGATTCACAGAAAATAATCTTAAAAGCTCACAAATTGGACATCACAATGAAAAGATTTACTATACACAATAGCAAGATATAACTGATAAAACATTTAGATCTTAGCATAAATAAGGGAAAAAATCAATCAATTCAATGCAAAAAAAATTCAAGATTGTATTACTTTCATTGCCTTTACATCCTGGAAAACCCCATTTTATAATTCCATAATATTTTCCATTACTGCCAAAGCCAAGTTAATCACCAGAAAAAAACAGTGAACAGATAAGCCAATGTAAAGTATGAGTATTGAGTAATACAGGGTTTCCCATGCTAAGGGAACTGCAGGGGGTTCGTGAGTTGATGAAAAGCTAATAATTAAATAAATCATCAAATTAAAAAAATTAATTAATAATTTCAAAATAAAAACAAATCAAAATAAAAGACTATTGATATAAAATATTTAGTTTGTTTACCTGCATGTCATTTTGACCATTAACCAGAAATCAGAAAATTGTGGACATGCAAATGTGTTGTTAAATTATTGAAATATTAACTTAAATCTCAGGAGGTACAGCAATTATTTATTCAGTCATGGAAATTAATTAAATATTAAAAGTTATGGCAATTTTTGCATTAAATTATTTTCTATTTATGCTCAGCTCTAAAGTATTTCAACTGTTATATCTTGCTATTGCACAGAATAAAACAATTTGTTAAAGGATTTAATTCAATTTGGCTGAAAAAAAAAAGTTTGGGAATCCCTGCATTACAATACTCTTAGAAATGTGGATAACAACTTTAAAATGCATTAAGAAAAAATTAAGAGTTGCATTTACCCTCAAGTTTTCATTCAGCTCCTTACTGAGAGCATAAGAAAGTTCTTTGTTCATGTTGTAAGAACTGGTCCTCTGCAGGATGTCCTTTTTAACCATGGGATTGAGAGAGCCATTCTTCCTGGAGTTAATGTTGCCATTACTCGGTTGTAGTTTTCTCACACCAACTTTCTGATTGAGAACACCGTCCTGTTCTGGTCTCTTGTTGGAGGCTTTGAGTGCAGCTGAAGTGGACTTGTCCCTCTGCTCCAGCTCAGGGTTTTTGGTGGGCTGGATGCAATTAGTCAGTGGGTTCAGTAGTACAACAAAGGGTAATAATTCTTACCTGGATTAGTTTTGTGGTGAGAGGTGCTTAATTCCTATAAAACAATCAATGAAAATACGTGAAAACATGTTTGACATCCATAGTCACTTGAAAAACGGTGGAAATCATACATAAAATTATTCAACAAAAATATAGAGCTTGACAAGTACCTTCTGAACGGACATGACACTACAATAGGAGGTTTTGTGGTCTCTATTCTCCAGTCTATATTTTTTCTGATCAGGACGGTGGATGATCCTCTCCCCTGTGTTAACTGTTGCTTTAGGTCTCTGCTGGAATAAGCAGGAACTACTACTCTCAGGGTTACGCCTGGAGTGAGGTGTATAAAGAAGAGAATGTCTCTGGACCTTCACAGCATCTGACTGAAACAAACCTCCTCCAAGCTGAACACAGAACATCAGAGGATTATGAAGTTAGAATACAATAAACGAACACCAACCACAAGCTATAACAATTATGTAACAAAATCTAAATGACAGGGTTCCCACATTTTTGGAGTAATTAAATTCCAGTATACTTTGGCCTTTCCAGTCATTTAAAAAAAAAATCTTTGATTATGACAGATGCATTAATGAATCATTCAGATTTATCTGAGAACCCATTTGATCGATTCACAGAAAATAATCTTAAAAGCTCACAAATTGGACATCACAATGAAAAGATTTACTATACACAATAGCAAGATATAACTGATAAAACATTTAGATCTTAGCATAAATAAGGGAAAAAATCAATCAATTCAATGCAAAAAAAATTCAAGATTGTATTACTTTCATTGCCTTTACATCCTGGAAAACCCCATTTTATAATTCCATAATATTTTCCATTACTGCCAAAGCCAAGTTAATCACCAGAAAAAAACAGTGAACAGATAAGCCAATGTAAAGTATGAGTATTGAGTAATACAGGGTTTCCCATGCTAAGGGAACTGCAGGGGGTTCGTGAGTTGATGAAAAGCTAATAATTAAATAAATCATCAAATTAAAAAAATTAATTAATAATTTCAAAATAAAAACAAATCAAAATAAAAGACTATTGATATAAAATATTTAGTTTGTTTACCTGCATGTCATTTTGACCATTAACCAGAAATCAGAAAATTGTGGACATGCAAATGTGTTGTTAAATTATTGAAATATTAACTTAAATCTCAGGAGGTACAGCAATTATTTATTCAGTCATGGAAATTAATTAAATATTAAAAGTTATGGCAATTTTTGCATTAAATTATTTTCTATTTATGCTCAGCTCTAAAGTATTTCAACTGTTATATCTTGCTATTCCACAGAATAAAACAATTTGTTAAAGGATTTAATTCAATTTGGCTGAAAAAAAAAGTTTGGGAATCCCTGCATTACAATACTCTTAGAAATGTGGATAACAACTTTAAAATGCATTAAGAAAAAATTAAGAGTTGCATTTACCCTCAAGTTTTCATTCAGCTCCTTACTGAGAGCATAAGAAAGTTCTTTGTTCATGTTGTAAGAACTGGTCCTCTGCAGGATGTCCTTTTTAACCATGGGATTGAGAGAGCCATTCTTCCTGGAGTTAATGTTGCCATTACTCGGTTGTAGTTTTCTCACACCAACTTTCTGATTGAGAACACCGTCCTGTTCTGGTCTCTTGTTGGAGGCTTTGAGTGCAGCTGAAGTGGACTTGTCCCTCTGCTCCAGCTCAGGGTTTTTGGTGGGCTGGATGCAATTAGTCAGTGGGTTCAAGAGTTTTGGAGTCTTCTCAGAAGGTTCAATACGTGGACTACCTGACACAGGATGTGGTGTGGCAGCTACACGGTCACGTCGCGGAGCACCAAGCGGAATGAATTCTTGCACTTAAAATAAAGCAAACACATTGTCAGACATTCAGACAAGAAGTGAAAAAGCAACCTCTTTATTTCATCATGGCAGCTGAATCACCTCGCAAACCTGTATTAAATGTTAGTGCACTGCATGATTATTAAGCTTGTTAGCTGGCACAAATCAGACTGACATGCAAATATGAAAGAGCATTGACATCAGTTGGCTGGAATATACTAGACGACTTGTGCACAGATTTTTGTCCAGATCTGCAGTCTGATGGAGTCGTGGATAGCTGCCAAAAGTCAGAGCCAGTCTGCAGATTTTGGGCAATTGGAGTTGACTGACTTTGCAGAATATCACATAGTGTATGATGGGCACAGAATCCGATTTGCAGCTTCAGACTATGATTCGATCCAGTCGGAGGATCCAACATGTTTGTTTTTTTTGGTCTGATTTTACAACACATTGTTTTCATCTGTCAGTCATTTATTGTATGATGGCTAGTCTATTGTAATTTACGTGCAACCGCCGTGCAATGCATTCCAGCCTTAAGTCTAGAAAACAGGAGGAAAAATCTGCAAGCCAATGTATCCAGTATTACCATTGTGCCATAGTAAGCCCACAAGCAGATCAACAGCGGCCCAACACACCAATATATATAATACCACATATAATCTCACCCATAGAGGTGATATGCTGCTTGAGGAAACTTGACATTTTATACTGAAGAAACACAGACAGGCGTCTTTAAATGTCTTCTGAGTGATCTGAACAAAGTGAGATGCATGAATCAAGTGTCAAAACAAGTGAACTTACATGTGCGCATGCAAAATATCGTTTGTTTAGATAACCAAATCCTGCTTTGAGAAGTCTGTGCCATTACAATACACACCACATATTACAGTATTTTTATAGAAATAAATGACAGTAACAGATGACAACAGACCTGTGCTACATGCTTCCAGTTTTTCCATCAGGTGGGTGTGTGTCTGTAAAAAGAAAAACAATGGTGAAAACTTTAGCTGTTGGTCTTGGAAAAGACATGGAGGAAAGGAAATAGCTATCCTCTCATTTGTATTGACTTATGACATTCATTATTTGTACTTTGTAACTGAAATGTGTATGGGCGGGAAAAAACTAGTCTTGAGAAACGAAACTACTGGCAAGTTGGCAACAGGTCAAGTCATCGAACTAGGCTGTTTTAGCCGAAGGGCTTGATGTTTTATGACAAATCCTTCCATAAACAGTCAATAACACAAAAGGCCGGCCGTCTATCGGAAGACGCTGCCAGTCAGAAGATGCTCTTCAAGCACGAGGCTTTACCGACTACACAATCAAATGAAAACAAGCTCTCCAAAGAAAACTCTAACTTTACAAAAGAGCGTTTACTTCATCAATTCTGACTAAATGTTATGTAACGTTATACACAGTACATTTTGCAAGTAAAGTTACACTAGTAAATATAAATTTACTAGCTGTCAAACCGCGTGAGTGGCGGTGACTTTACCATACGCGTCCGTTTAGTTCAGAAAAGAGTCAAACGTATATATAAACATTATAATAAAATGATATGAGATGCGTACCAGTCATTGTAGAAATGTATTTGATACACTCCATGATGAAAGTGCGGTTGCGTTTGTGGGGAGCCGCCATCTGTAGGTAGGAGGAGCGAGTGTTGTAGTTCACGGAAACGACCACTAGAGGCGTTTAGATTGAGCGCCAAAATCCATGCTGAATACTGCAATAATATCCAGCCGCAGCCCCGCAGCCCCACACGTTTCAGGACACACGATCCAGACCACACGATCCAGGCCGGAAGTAAGGCGAACCATATATGGATCTGTCGCAGTTTTGTAGTGCAATTTTCTTTTGTTAGATATAATATGAGCTATCCCAAGAATTTTGATAGGATTTACAATATTTAATAATACACAAAATACTAAAAAATTATATAAAAAAAACATTTTATTTTTTAAATTGATATTCATTTTGATCAATCTAGTAAACCGTAACATTTTTTTTGACTAGGTTATGATGAGATATTTAGGTCATGTTTGTTTTGTGACAAATACTTAAAGACACAGAGAATGGACGTTTGATGTCAAGAATACTTTTTATTTTAAAATTCAAATTGAACATGGAAAAAGTGCAACATACTAATAAAAAAAAAACATTTCAACAACCAAAAATAGAACTAAAATTAAAATTTAGAAATGTAATTGTAATATCAACAAAAAAAAGCTTTTGAAAGTCTTATACTTTTCACTCTTCAAAAGAAGAATTCAATTTTAATCCCATTTTTTCATGGCATTCAACTAAAATAATCTCCATGTCTTCCCTGAATGAAAAATTAAATGTGAATGGGTTTCTGCAGTCTTCCACATCTTTGATGAGATTTTGGAGGGCCTTTTCCTTGTCATCCTCTTCCATTCTGAGGAAAAGAGGTTCTTCCACAGGGCCCCTGAACACATGTCTATTGGCATGTATCCATTTTACAGCCAGTTTCATGTGTTTGATTATAGTGAGCTCCTTCATTACAAAATGGCAAAGAATAATACAATTTTACTATTTCCTATAAACTACACATTTGCAACAACACACATTTACTGACAAATACCTCACTGCTACTGGGTGTAGCTTGTTCTTCATGTAGCTCTAGTGTCTTCTAGAGGTTTTCTGTCCTGTAACATTTTTTGGTTGATTTTTTTTATTAGTCTGGGATAGGGTGCAAGGTAGTGTGAACTGTAGGGAAATAAGGAAATACCTTTCTGGGACAACTCCAAAGTTCTCCAAAAGAATTAGTGCCCACCATCTCCTGATTTTTGAAAAGTCATGCTTTAAGACAGAAATACAAAGAAATCTTATAAATATCAAAACAGCATGAAATCCAATTGCTTGTGCTCCTAATTACTTACAGATGTAAAGTCAAAGGGGGCTCCCAACACAATGTGTAGAGCATACTAAAAAAACACAGCAAAATTTAAGAAAAAGTCAAATCATAATTAAAATGGGGCAAAATGAGTTTGAAAGATGAAAGATAGCAATGCCATAGTTTAGGGATCCAAGAAGAAACAAACTGATACTGTCAATACATTAGATTGGAAGGCAAACATTAGTTTATTTATAGCAAAACATGATTTGCCTTACCATCAACAAATAAATCATTACATTAGTAAAGTACTTAACTATACTACAACACATTAATAAAACAACTCAAGATACCCATACTATCATAGACAACTGCCTTGCTGGAATGGCTCTGCAGATGCAATTTTAATTTGTCCAGTCTGGTTGGCTTAAATGTCCGGCAGAAAGGGCAATGATAAAGGCTGCAACAGTTTTGGCACTGTTGGAGCTGAGGTAATTCTTTACCTCTCTGAATTGTAGTATGTCTCTACAGGATATAAAATGAAAAATTGCATAACACACGTTCTCTGTTATTTGAAAAAGTCAAAAACAAACTTACAATGCTCTAGAACAGCATAAAATAAACCAACAAACAATGAAACTAATAGAATTATAAGAAAGCATTAAATATATCAAAAAGTAATAAATTCAAACCATAAAGTGGCTTTATCGCAAAGCCCATTTACAACAAACAACCTAAAACGCAATCAAACTGTCCGCAGAAAAGTCCCGAAAATGGTAAAGGATGACAACAATTCAAAGCTTCAGAAATAAAACGTGAAAGGCATGCACATAAACAGTATTTATAACATAAACATTGAACTTTTTAACAAATTTTTCATCACAAAATGACAAACTTTACTCACACTGCTCTCCGCCATGTTGTTATGTTTGACTAACTCCGCTCCTCACTTCCGGCCTGGATCGTGTGGCCTGGATCGTGTGGTCTGGATCGTGTGGCCTGGATCGTGTGGCGTGGATCGTGTGGCCTGAAACGTGGTGTGGCCTGGATCGTGTGGCCTGGATCGTGTGGCCTGGATCGTGTGGCCTGGATCGTGTGGCCTGGATCGTGTGGCCTGGATCGTGTGGCCTGGATCGTGTGGCCTGGATCGTGTGGCCTGGATCGTGTGGCCTGGATCGTGTGGCCTGGATCGTGTGGCCTGGATCGTGTGGCCTGGATCGTGTGGCCTGGATCGTGTGGCCTGGATCGTGTGGCCTGGATCGTGTGGCCTGGATCGTGTGGCCTGGATCGTGTGGCCTGGATCGTGTGGCCTGGATCGTTCTTACAATATCACAAAAAATACCATTTATTTTATTTATTTGTTTGTTTGTTAGTATGTCTGTTTTACATAGCCTACACCTTTTTAAAAAATAGTTATGCAAGGAAAATCTTGCGTGTTTTCATGATGCCACTGACTGGATGGATGAGCTTAGAGAAAGTGTTAATTTTCTGTTAACCCTGTAAAACCTGATATACGAAAACAGTCAGATTTATTTATTTAATGGAGAAGTTTTATCAACCTTTAGGCATATAAGCTAGGCCTATTTATTTTAGTTTGCATATGTGTTTTTTTTTTGTTGAATATTATTTTATGACCCATGTAGTGTGATACAGTGGGAAGAATAATAAATCAGTATTATTAAGTGGCTCAAAGTGCAAAAATAGGCAATTTAACACTTATATGACAAAACAGTTTAATAGAGACATTTTTTACTTTTATAGACTTTTATAACAGGATCAGACTTATCCATATAATTGTCAGTTGTCACTCATCTCCCAAAAATCATAACAATATAGTGATATTTAAAAAGTTTTATAATCAAAGCTCTTTCATTTTCAATTGTGGGGGTCAAAATATGTAATGCAATGCAACATGATAACTGAAATGTTTTGAGTTATTTGGCATGTGTTAAATTGCAACGTGATTAAATAAATAAAAACGCGTTTCTTAGCTTCTTATTGACGCTATGCGTTCCACCTTAAAAACGCGTTCCTTAGCTTCTTATTGACGCTATCCGTTCCACCTTAAAAACGCGTTCCTTAGCTTCTTATTGACGCTATCCGTTCCACCTTAAAAACGCGTTTCTTAGCTTCTTATTGACGCTATGCGTTCCACCTTAAAAACGCGTTTCTTAGCTTCTTATTCATAGACCGTCTCTATTTGCGTCTCTTTTTCAGAAACGAACAATGAGTTATTTTAAAATGTAAATAACACTGAGACAAGAGCCCCCTCACCTCTGGTGCCGTCTCCCACCCGTCTCCGTAGTGGGCGCCCTGATTTTAGTCGGTGAGGCAAGGTACTGCCCTGGGAAGGTCTCCCAGGCTGTTAAATACACAGATTAAAAGCGAAATGTTTTCATTTCGGTTCGTTCTTAGCAAAACATTTTTTTTTTCGTTCAGGTTATGCAGAGCGAAATAAGAACGGTGCTGCATTTAGAAAGAATTCTTATTAACTTTGCTATTATTCTTGAATTTTCAAACTGCTAACACTTTGCAGTTTTGAATTATGCCTTTACTGTATGACCAGAAATGAGGGAGTAGTGTATTTGATGTTCCAGCTGTTTGATCGCGCCGGCGCCTCGCGCACACTAAGCTACTGCATTCATTGGATACAGCGCTGCCGTTCACCGTGCTGTTCGGCGCGAGACCCGCTCCACTGAGCCATATTTTTGTTCATTATGATATTTTTCCGTCGTTACTGGAACGCGCGTGAACTACAAAGCCTATCTGACCTAATAAGGCTAATAGTTTAGCTTCAGCTACATTGCGAATATGGACACATTTGGATTTGTGCCTGAGAGAAGTAAGCCCAACTTTACCTTACGTTTCTTTATAAATTAATTTGTTTTGGCATGTTTATTGCTATATTGTTATATACTGCAATTATATTTATCCATTAGAATTATATATTTTTAAATTCTTATTCTGTTCTGATACGGTTAAATTTAAAGGATTTGTTGTAAAGTGAGGGGAATTCAAATATCCTATAGTGTTCATAATGTTGGTACATTATAACATTATTAGGCCTTCCGTTATTATTTCTGGAAATGCAACTTATACGAGATATTTATTTTCCTCAAAAAAAAAAGTTTTTTTTATTGTGGTTTTAAAAGCATGCAGCAAACGAAAATATGCTATTAATCTGTTAAAATGTGTTACTGTGGGTTAACAAATGTACATTAGTAGGCTATTCTTATGCTTGGCTTCACAGATAGCAACAGAGTCTGGGCCAAATCTGCTTTACATTCACTTCTGCCTTTTTTCAGTCTTGATTGCAAATGTTGTTTTTTAATTTTATGTACGATGGATAATTCAAACAAAAATCAGGCGTGTGTATTTATAACATCAATCACTAGGCCTACATTCTTTTTTTCAGAAATGGAAGTAACTTAAAGTTATTGTTTGTAATATTTTTATCTATTGGCCTATACAGCAAAACTACAGAGCTTCCAGTAGGTTATTTTATGGAGCTGTAAACACGGGAATCTCCGACCGCATGCAATCTTTGACGATCACCCAATTCATATATCAAACTAGGCTATATGTTATTAAAATGTACATAGGCTATATATTAGATTATTTTAATTACAAGTTACATGTTTATCCCGTTTTTCCCCCGTTGCATCTGAAAATTACTTTCAGAAACGTTTTTTTTCACATGGTACATTTTACCTTTCTATCAAAGTTATCTAACATTATCAAGCTGAATTTGTTCTGACACAGTTTAACTCTGAGTTCTTGTCATATTTTATTACCATTTTCTAAACTATAGCGAATAAACTGTGATAATGTGAGAAATGTTGAAGGTGTCTGAATACATTTTGGTTTGACTATCTATTTGATAAATTAAGTTAACCAACTAACATTATACATACCCTATTGGTTTCTGTACCCAATATTTAAAAAAAATGTACAAATGCAATAAAAATATCGGTATCGGTACTCGGTATCGGCAAGTACCAAAAATAAAAGTATCAGTATCGGGCGAGTACTGGAAAAAGTGGCATCGGTGCATCCCTAACAATTTGTAATTTGTAACAATTTGGGGGGGTTCTAATATAAAGCTTTAAATACTTGGCTCTATAGCATGTACGGTGTTACTGTTTAGTCAGTTTGATGTGTTATTTATCCTTATAGTAGCTATTCTGTGGCATTGTGTGTGTGTTGTTTTAAAAAAAAAATGTAAATAAAAAGATTTTTAAAAATGTAGCATTTATGTTTAAAAAAAATTCTACATGACTTAATTTACTACAAAATTCTACAACAGTAGATCTGTGGTTTTCACACTTCCTGAGCAAACCAGTTCATTTTCCACATCTCTGCTTTCAAACTATTATATACACTTCCTTTCAAAAGTTTGGGGTAAGTTTGTTTTTCTTTGAAGGAAATTAATACTTTCATACAGCAAGGATGCAATTATTTGATCATAAATGACAGTAAAGACATTTATATTGTTACAAAGATTTCTATTTCCAATAAATGCTGTTCTATTGAACTTTCTATTCATCAAAGAATCCTGAAAAAATGTATTATGGTTTCCTCAAAAAAACAATACTCAGCAACACAACTGTTTTCAACATGGATAAGAAATATTATTAGAACAATTTCTGATGGATCATGTGACACTGAAGACTGGAGTAGTGACTGCTGAAACATCACATGAGCTTTGACATTGCATAAATTACATTTTAAAATATATCAAATGATCAAACATCAAGTCACTTTAAATTGTAATATTTCACAATATTGCTGTTTTACTGTGTTACTGATCAAATAATTGCAGCCTTGTGAGCATAAGAGATTTCTTTCAAAAGCATTATTTAATGATTCCAAACCTATGAATGGTGTTGTATATATTATCTAAAACCCTCTGCTATATGGAAAGAAAGCAATAAGCCCCAAAAAGCAATG